ACCAAATTGGTCTTCACTAAAAGACATCTCCAATCTACAAGGTAACCGCAGTTGATGACTAGGACTAGTGCCCTTCTTGCACAGCTTCTCATTTCCATTCTCATAGAACTACGGCAACTATGATAAAAGAGGTGGACCTCATTTTTGAGTAGACGTCGATTTTCGGAATTTTTGCTTTTAAAGGATGCGGTAGGGACCAAAGGAGGTGGTAATTAGAGGCTGCTAACTTTGTTAAATAACCTGGGTACGGTCGCATTCTCTGATCGAAATCCATGATCTTTTGGCGTAGCCTGATCCCCACATGCGGTCTTCGCATTGCCGAGTAGTAGAGAAAAATTGAGTATTGAATGAATTCAAGCGTGACGTCATCCATGTTTTGAAGTTGATTAGAGTGGACTGTGGTCCTTACAGCTGTGCTAGTATCCAGCGATACCGCTTTGAAGTCCCACCAATAACACACTGAAATCTTTATCCCATGCACATCTGTTTTTGGCTAAGCAATCTACTTTTCTGTTTGAGAGATCCTGCGAGGGACATGTGCATGATGTACGCAAGGACTCCAACACTCGCTACCAACCACAAGATCTCACAAAAGTTCTTTCGCTGTGTACAAGGAAAAGAAAACTCAGTCACGGTCATTCGGTATGACTTGTCAGACGGGTCCAACTCATGAGGCATCCTTCACAAAAATTTTTTCCGATAACCGAGATTGCGGAGAAGCATGGCAGTTGTCAGTCAGGTTAGAGAGGTTGCCAACTTACTGGTGGTTACGTTCGGCTGCGCCTCAAGAAGCTTGAGTAAAGGGCCGTCATTCTGTGCTGGTGGGCGACCTATACAAGTTAAATAAGTCCAGCCTGGAAGCGCTGATGCAAAAGCTACCCTCTGCCATGGCAAGCGATATCCTTCCTCAAGACAACGTAAGTGTTAGCTTCCTCGACTACGGCGGAGTGGCCCTACAGGAACTCATAATATGGGATAGGTCGAAAAGTACCTCGATCTCTGAGGGACTTTTAAGCTTTGAAAACTTCCACAAAGTCATGATATACCCATGTGCAGAAACCCCAGAGGACAGTCTCCACTAATCAGGGATAAAAACATCCAAAATTTTTGGTCTTTTTCTAGAACAATTCAATCAAAGTGTCGCAGGACTTTTCGAACAACCTAATATCTCGCCCAAGGGAAGAGGGCCTGGCGAAGCCAGGTCGGCCCGGCGAAGCGGGCCGTGAAACAGAAGGAGGAGCACCCGGCGGCAGCCGGGTGATCCGACTGGTAGCATATACAGGGGGGGGGGAAGTCACTTTTCTTCATTGACTTTCGAGGCGCTATAAGTTACACTTTATTAAATTCTGATCGGACATTTTTACCACCATATTAAAGAGCATAATACTATCATGACACTCCGCCACAGCCTTCTGGACGAGCGCCATCGAGAGATTCTGGCACGCGACCGCGATGTGGTGCCTGAGATCAGCGAGATAGTCGATTTCTCCGCCACCGTAGACCACCCTATTGAACTCCGCCCGAACCGGGTAATTGAGGGGATTCAGGTCAGGTGACCTACTTGGATATTCCATCTTCTTTAGGTACTCAGCCCCCTTCCATTCCAAGTAGGCGAGAGTTTCTCCAACGCCCTTCGATTCCATGTGGTGGCACCCAAAGTTTCCAAGAAGGTACGGGCGACGACATGTGAGGAGGATATTCTTCACGAGTTGCTCGATGTAACCGCCAGCGCTCACCTTCAGTCCGGGGTCCACGAAGAAAATATCGGTCTTCCCATTCCCGGTCCATACCATCAACTCGCGCCTCGGCGACTACGGTGAAGATGATGTCCTAGACCGTAGCGACGTTGTCGGAGCTGCTCGATGTTGGAGGTCTTCCAGATCGAGAGTACTGGTCTCCAGGTAGCTATCCATGGGTGACTCCATACTAGAAGTTTCGCAGCTGTTTGGAGGTGACATGAATTCCAAAGGTCTTCTCCAGTCAGGTTGCGACTGGAGATGACTTCATATTTTGGTGTACATGAAGGTGATGGGCGAGAGCCAGCTCCTGCTTATAGAGGAACATCTTGGGTATCTTCCGCCCTGGTACTCGTATCCACGTCCTCTGTCTGGGCAGCTTTCTTTTGCTGATATGTGACTCGGTCGAAGTGACTTTTTTGGCCCGTCCTGTATAAGAGAGCCATTTGGTACAGACGCCATTGCACGACCTGCCCGCGTGGCAGCTGGGCGTGTGTTCGTGCAGGGGTAGCATGGGATGCAGGGGGGGGGGCACGAAGTGACTCCCCTCTGCTTCCTTCCCTGCACGTGCTCAGCCGGACCTGAGCGCGTGCAGGGTAACGGAAACAGGGGAAGATGTTGGGTGAAGGGGGTATGATGAGGGGTGCGTAGCGCATGCTTGAGTAGGAACATACAGCAAGAGAGGGAGATATTAGGTTGTCCGGAAAGTTCTCAGCGTTTTGCACCTATTTTTTGTACATTCACTGCTGATTAAAAACTCATTCTGCCTTGCTTCTCAGTAGCACATCCTGAATTTCTTGCGCTATCTGATGGTATAATTGCCGTTTCACCATTGCTTGATAAACCCCCTTTTTTCAAGATTTTTTCAAGCATGTGAAAAGAGCACTTCGGACGATTTTTTTTCGACTATAAATTGGGGCAATCCGCAATCGAAACAGCTCAACAAATTAACCAGGTGTGGGGGCCCAATAGTGCTAGAGAAAGCACTGTGCGGCAATGGCTCAACAAATTTCGTTCTGGAGATTTCAGCCTTGAAGATGAACCTCATAGCGGTCGACCTAAAGCAATATCTGACGAGGATTTTAGGGGTTTGGAAATCCACTGTTGCAGATGGTCTGGAACGCATTGGGAAGGTGAAAAAACTCGACAATTGGGTGCCCCACAATCGGAGTGACCGGCAGGAATCGGCACGTCTCGAGGTTCCTTCTGCATTGCTTTTGCGCAGCAGAAACGACCTGTTTTTGGGCCGAATTGTCACCTGTGATGAAAAATGGGTCATGTATGATAACAGGAGACGTTCCGGACAGTGGTTGGATTTCGACGAACCACCGAGGTAATTTTCAAAGCCGAACCCTCACGAAAAAAAGATTCTGGTCACGGCTTGGTGGTCATCGGCTGGTGTGATCCACTATAACTTTTTATCACCAGGCCAAACCATCACAGCAGAACCCTACTGTGAAGAAATCGACGAAATGTACCGAAAATTTTGTCAGATGCAGCCAACACTTATCAAAAGAAAGGGTCCGATTCCTTTGCATGACAACGCCCGCCCACACGTTTCACAAATCACTATCCATAAATTGAACGAATTGGGGGTTGAAGTTCTACCTCAACCGCCATATTCTTCAGCAAAAAGGACCAGGCAAAAAAGCCTTCGTGGATTTCGTGAATTTTCGACCACCCAGTTTTTTACTTTGATGGGATTTCTCGACTGCTGTCACATTGGCAAAAGTGTGCTGATTCGAATGGTGCCTATTTCGATTAAATCCGATGAGTATTAAAAAAGTTACGATCGTTTAAAGTGAAACACCCAAAACGCTGAGAACTTTCCGGACAACCTAATATAACCGCTTGCAAAACTGCAAGCTATCCATAATAATAACAAACTATGATGTTGTTTTGATTGTGGTAATACCTCCACTATATGAGACATGGGCCATTTATTACACACGGAGCCATTGCACAAGCAGCTCGCGTGGCAGCTAGATATGAGCTCGCGCTGGGTTGCTCCAGCTATTGTGATTCGACCAAAATAGGGCAGTATGAACAGCTGAGTAAATGGACAAATTCCTTCCACATTGGAAGTACGCTTGGCAAAGCCTAGCCAGCTAAGGAGAAGGAAAAGAGCTCGACGTCAGCCGGGCGATCCGACTGGTTTGCTTATGAAATGGGTCGAGCGGAATGGTAGAACAATGCTGCATGTTCATGATCGGCTTGACTTCTTCTTTTGTTATTGAAGTTTAATGCTCCTATTGTTCCAGCAATTCCGTATTCGAAGCAGTTCCGTGATCACAACTTCTATCTTCTTCCACCCAAAGTCCTCAAGTATGGAGCAACCCAGACTGTGGGAGAACTCAGGAATTCTCTGTTCTCGCAAACAGGAGAATACGGGAAGAAATGTACGAAGAATTCGGATTGTGGACCAGAAGAGTTTTGCGATGAAGTCGTGCAGCGATACAAAGAATTTGAAAAAAATGTCGAAAGACTGTCAAACTACAAACCTATGATGTGCTTCGCAGGTGATGTTTGTATTAGTGAGAAAAAGTGGCTTGCCTTCCCTCACCAAGCCAAGCCATTTTTTTTTGGTATGGGTTTTTGGCTTGCTCATAAGTATTGCTTCCACGAAAAGTCGCGGGGAAGACGAGCTGGGCTGTCGGTCTTGATGAGTGAGATGTACTCATAAAAATTAAGTTGGAAATAACGGGCTTCCTTTTTCGCTACCACACTATGTATTCAAATCTTGATCGTAGTCCTGAAGCTGTACAAGTTGCTCAAGAGGGAGCATGAAGCATGAATTCGGGGAAGAACAGGAAAAAAACAAACTGAAACTGCTTTTGAATGAAGCAGTCACTGTACCCTAATCATCGCACTTTTGTCGGATGGGGAAGGTTTTTGCGGTATACGATTCCCTACCTCAAAATTCCCTCTGCTGCGAATCTCTTCTCCAAAATCAACATAGAACCTAGCAACTTGCTATAATAAATTTTCCAACTTCCGACCTTTTTTCAGGATTTTTTTTCTAGGAGCTCCTGGGACCACCTCCCCAGAAAACACCGTTGAGCGCGCCGGGAGGGCTTACCTAGCGCGGGAAAAAGTCAACAACCGAAAACATTTTTCTCAAAGGCAAATAATACACGCATGTAGCACATGTCAAACAGGGAAACCGCGAAAAAAAAATCTTTTTTCAACACTGCAACTTTCTCCCAAGGGCAAATACGATCATACTCTCTCAACAGCGAGTAAATATGACTCTCCCTTTGTAGCGCCCGTTTATATCAAAAAAAGCAGGTATAAAAGAAGAAACTTTCTCAGATGGCTCCTTTCCTCAATGACCAGATGATCCCCCCCTCTGCTCAAATTTGTTCATCGTACGGCGTGGTCTGACACAGAGTCAAAAATTGAGTGAGGGCGTGAAAGGGTGACCGAGAGCATCAGCATATTCTACGTAAGGACAAGAAATGATCCCTACGTAGAAAATACAACCAAGCATTTAGTTAAGGCCAGGTAATTCCTAAATGATGCTTTTCCAGCTCCACGGTGTACGGGGAAAGTCTACAAAGATCCAGACCTCCTTGGCATTCATTTATGCAACGGGACCGGAGACACGTGTCCACCGTCTACGTTTTGTGACACTGGATCAAATGTCAACAGCAAAGTACCTGCCTTCAAATCAATTGGCGTCTGCTGTCAATGTGAGTCAAAGAAAAAGGCTTTCATTGTGTAATGTATATATAATCCGCTAAGTTTGTCTGTTGGTGTGTGTGTGTGTGTGTGTGTGTGTGTGTGTGTGTGTGTGTGTGTGTGTGTGTGTGTGTGTGTGTGTGTGTGTGTGTGTGTGTGTGTGTGTGTGTGTGTGTTTGTCACGGTAATTATAGACTCCCTGAAGACAGGCCTAGCTTCGGGAATGATTTAAATTCCCGGACAGAGTAAAACAGCCTTAGGAGTTGCCGAGTGCGACAATCGTTGGGCTATTGTTATTATGCACTCTCATAGTAAAGAAGGAACTTCGATCCTCTTTGCAATCCTAGCCGGCATAGCTACAGTTGATACCACCGCAATCAGTCGGGTTGCAATCAACGGTTCCCATCTGCGCCCCACTGGTTGTTTTCCATCTACTCGATCACCACTGGTAGAGCAAGGCAGCTGGAGGCGAGGTAATACTGCCTTGCTGCCGCCGTTCCCGACTTGCAACAGACTATATGTTAATCGGTAAGAGGCGGCCGCGCTGGGGTATCCCACTTGGGAAAGCGTGAGGAGTGGATAAGAGTTCCGCCTTGGGACAAGGTCTCGCCCATAACTCAGCATTCTTGTGTTAACTTTCGAAGCGCTAAGTATACTGAAAAAAATAATTATCCATAAAAGAAGAAAAATATCGCGACAGCGTGCACAATTGGCCTGCCATGAACCTTGGCACCTCGTGAGGTCTTCTCTGATTTACTGCATAGCCATATACGGATAGCTTTGCGCTGAAAAGAAAGATTCAGCATTTGATCCGTGTGGGCCATTACTCATCACGCCTATAGTCCGCAGTCTAATTTTACTTTTTTTTTACACGGAAGTTTTAGATGACTGCACCAAGGATATAGACGCGAGTGCCAAGGATCGAGCTGATGCTAGCATTAAGTCCTATGCTAGATTCACATCGAACAACAAACAATGTCAGAACGAAGGGAATTGCCAAGACCTGGGCAGCGCCGCGTAGGTTTCACAAATAAGACTGTCATTTCGATGGGCAGTTCGGCGAAGGGAGGAGGGGCATTTTGCACTTCTAATACTTTCCATCAACGTGCGACCTATCTGGACAGCCTTTTCTCGAGTTGACAGGTTTTACCATGATGACTTGACGGCTCAGCTTCACAAGAGTTCACAGGTTTCACCAGAGTGAGACTTGTAAACCGGAACTAGTGAAGCAACGAAAGTGCAAAATGCCCCCCCCCCGTCGCCGAACTGCGCCTGCATCATGAAACTTTTTTCAGTAAATGCATACCAGTCAAAGACTCAGGGACACCTATCGAGCCAATGGAACTGTCACCAGAAACCTATAAAATGTGTTGTGTATGTAAGTATTCGAATATACATTACAATGAGCTGTCGCTGTTCCCTTGATGTTAGTGCACAGTCATCACCATCACAGCATCAAGATTTTCACTAGGCCAGCTTCTTTTTCCATAACATAACTTTGTACTCTAACTTAACTGTAACTTTGTAGACACCGCTAAGAATGAGTCAGAACTTTATCGTTGCCATACTGGAGAGCCTGGCAAAGACACCGCGGGCAAAGTTATGAAGTGTAACACAGACGAAGACTGCAACAGAGTGGAAGGTCAAGAACTGACCTCTAAGGATAAATGGGATTTCGAATGCGTAGTATCTCCCGCCGGAATCAAGTTTTGCTGCCCTGGTAAGTTTGATATGCCGAATAAATGATATTGAAGGCACACCTCGTTTTGAAGATGTTCACAGAAGTTATCTTTGAACATGGTAATCTTGCCTGCAAGCATGGAGGATGTACTGAGATGTTGAAAATTATCTGTCATAAAGAGTCAATCGACTTCTTACATGGAAGTTTACCTTGGGTGTTGCGTACGCCCTCGTATTCTCGGTACTCATTCATTCTAGATCCGCGCAATGTAATCCCGCTTAAAAGTTAAGGGATAGGATGGACAGTGTTTACTATGAGTCCCTATCTCTTATCGTTGTTGATAAAAATGGGCTGGTTGAAATTTTTCAAATCTTTCCGGACACCCTGGTAGTAATCGGTGAACTAGAGATAAGTGCGCCCAAAAGTTAAGGGAAATGGGATAATGTTTATTGCAATTATGATTTCCTATCTCTCATTGTTGGTAATGAATGTTAAATGAGCTGGTCAAAACTTCCCCGATATCCTACCATATATAATTCGCTAAGTTTGTCTGTTGGTGTTTGGTGTGTTTGTGTGTGTGGTTGACCGGAAATTCATAACTTTCTTCAAAATAGCGATAAAGCGCTCAAACTTATAAGTGATGTAGGGGGTCGGGCAGGAACATTATTGGTGGGTGGCAGGAAGTGATAACAGTTGATAAGATACCATAAGGGGCCTTATAAAGGCAAAGTCAGCAAATTCATAACGCGCGTCACAGCAAAGCTAGAGCGTTGGCTCCAAGAAGTAAGATAGGGGGCAGGATGGGAACATTATTGGTGGGTGGCGGACGTGATAATAGCTGATAAGATACCGTATAGGTTCTTAGAAGGGGATCACCAATTTCAAGACTCGCTTCAGAGAAACTGTAGAACGTTGGTTCCAAAAGTAAGATGGGGGGGGACAGGATGGGAACATTGTTGGTGGGTGGCAGGAATTGATAACAGCTGATAACATATCAAAGCCCGGAAAGGGACTAAATTCAAGTGCGCCGCAGCGACGGTAGTAGTTGACTGCGAGCGGTGAAATAGTAGGATGGGAAGGGTTGGTCAGGTCAGGTCTCAAATCTATGGGCAAATACATACTAAGTGAGCCAAATGTTTCTATTCCTCAGCGATAGTCGAAATTGATTCGACCGCTAAACGCTCGAGTTTCACCCAAAAGTAAAAGCCTAAAGATGTTTTCCAGTGAGGAATGATAAGAACCACCAGCAAACGGATAGGTGAAAGCTGCTCAAGGATATGAGGAGCTTTCACTAAGATCCCGATTACCGAAATTCTTTCAACCGCTAAGCTTTTCTACTTCCAACAAATGTTGGGTGTTTTTATAAATGTGATAAGCACTAGACATTGGCAAATGCTTATCAAACGTGAAATTAGGCCACGTGTTAGTGGTCTGCACAAAAATCCTGTCAGTGATCAATACCATAGG